TACACGTGTACTCCTCAATAGTTTCTTTTTGAAAGTTCTAGCAATCGGTAATATAATTACAGTGCAATCTCCGTAATTCCAGCTAATTGTTGCAAGAAGATGTTCGAATTATAGAATGTTTTCAGAAAAATCAAAAAATATTTTTAATATACAGCTGCTAGATTTTCTGTCTTATTTAAATAATTTAATTTTGCCCACAGATGACTGATGCCATATCCGAATCTAAAAAGAAATGTAGACAGTACAGTGTTGATTATTTGAAATTTGGCTTCATTCCATCATTGCCGGACAAACAATCGCCTATGTGCCTTTTATGCAACAAAGTTTTGGGCAATGACGCTATGAAACCATCTAAACTGCAAGATCATCTGAGAAGATGCCACCCTGATAAAACAGAGAAAGATTTGAAATACTTTTAAACACTTAAAGATAAATTTCAGAAGATACCTACACTGGACAGAATGTTCGCTTCGACGTCACAAAGAAATGATGATGGTTTGCGGGCGTCTTACAATATCTCGTTACTTATAGCAAAATCCGGAAAACCGCATACTATCGGAGAGAAGTTAATTTTGCCAGCCGTTGAAGAGGTTTTAAAAACTGTTTTACACAAACCTGCATCTGATATCATTCAAAGAATTCCCTTAAGCAACAATACTGTTGAAAGACGTATTGATGAAATGAGATCTGATATTGAAAGCTTCTTATGCAATTATTTTCAAACGACCCATTTCTCTATACAACTCGACGAGTCAACTTTACCTGATAATGCAGCATTATTATTGGCATATGTTCGTTTTATTATGAATCAAGAAATCTACGAAGAACTGCTCTTCGCAAGAACTTTGGTAACCGACACTAAAGGTGAATCAATATTTCATGTTTTGAAGGATAACTTCATTGAAAGAGCAATTCCTTTATCAAATATAATATCAGTAGCTACAGATGGAGCACCTGCCATGGTTGGACGTTATCGTGGATTTATAAGCTATTTAAAACAAAATGTGTCAGGGCTGTTAGCAATACATTGGGTCGTCCATCGACAACATTTAGTTGCTAAAAATTTGAGTGTTAGATTGCATGAATCACTTCATTTAGTCAGTGATGCAGTAAACCGAATCCGAAGCAACGCGTTGAATACGCGGTTATTTGCGCAGTTGTGTGAAGAAAATGACGAACACTTTCATCAATTACTCCTTCACACTGAAGTACGCTGGCTGTCGAAAGGCTTATGTTTGACAAGATTTTTGGCACTTTTTGAGACTATTTTAGAATTTCTGGATACTAAAGATAAAATTTTAAAAGAAAATTTAATGAAGAGGAAAACAGACATCGCCTATTTAACAGATTTGTTTACAAAATTTAATATGGTTAATTTGCAATTACATGGCGACAGTTTAAATTTGATTAAAACAAAGTCCATCTTATCAGCGTTGCTTGCCAGAGTTAAACTAATGAAGCAAAATATTGGACGGGGCGAATTTTCTCAGTTCCCCAATTTGTCACAGACAAGCTGCCAGGAAGACGACGATTCAACTTACGTTCAACATTTAAATGCCCTCTATTCAGATTTTGAATCTAGGTTTGAGGATATTTTGACTATGGTAATACCACCGTGGATAATTAATCCATATGGTGACATAGAAGAAACGAATGTCATAATACAAGAGGAACTGACTGAACTAAGTACTAACGAAGAACTTAAGGTTCAGTTTAAAAACGGATATTAGCAATTCTGGCTGCAAAACAACATACCCGTTACTTATCCCGTATTATGGAATATAGCGAGGAAATTTTTAATTTCCTTTCCATCGTCATACCTAGTGGAAAGGGGGTTCAGCGCTGTTACGAATCTCCTAACGGAAAAAGAAACAGACTGGACATCATTAGCCGAGGAGATTTAAGATTAACCCTTACAAAATTGACGCCAAATGTTGATAATTTATTGTTAAAGCATCAGGTTCATCCTTCTCACTAAAAATATTGACTTATTGCTTATGTTATTTTATTTATAGTTTATTTTATGTTTATTGGTGTCTGACCAATAAATGCCCGCATTGGGAATAAGTGCCCGCATTGATTTTTTTAAAGAAAATATTTTTTTTAAATTATTCTGAAAATTCAAGGATAGGTACACACTAAAATTCGTTAATTTTTTGCCTATTTTTAGATAACTCAAACGTATAAGAAGCTGAATTTAATCAAACTAACAGTGAAATTATTTTTTTTATTATTTTTCACTTTTTTTTTATTTTATCCCTCTTATTTTTTTTCAATGCGGGCACTTATTCCCAATGCGGGCACTTATTGGTCAGACTCCTGTTTGTTTAATGTTACGTATATTTTACATAACAGATACAAAATTTATTTTGAGTAGTTTTACTTTAAATTCAATTAATAAATGTATAAATTAACATGTGTTTTTACTTTAAGTTTTTAACACTAAACTTCACTACAGTTAGAAATTTACAGGAAATCAATATCAGGTAAGTAGGGGTCTACCCAACACGGAAAAACGTGGCAAGGGGTCTACGACACAAAACAGTTTGGGGAACTCTGCTCTAAATTATAACAAATAGAAAAAAATAGGCAAAATCGGCGAAAGGAAGTAGAATCGAGCAGAAAATGGGATAGTAACCCGAGCAACACATTTCTGCTTGTTGGCTTTATCAGGCCCGGAATGAATGCACATATGCAACTACAAAACTAGATACAAATGCCCATACATCCGGATACGGGTGTAATCAGTGTCGCTTTTGTCCTTGCATATCGTCGGCTTAATATGCAAATCACAAGTCCACCTTTTAAAGAAAATGAGATATTGGCATTTTTAGTTGATACTATGTGACGCGCATGTCCGAAAAATTCCACATAACTAGCAAAAAATGCGTAAGCTACATATTCGGCGTCAAGAATTTCACATAACACTCGCCCTCGCTCTGACCGATAGGTACATCACACAAGTCCGTACAAGTTCAGTGTTTTGGTATGCCTGGACGCGGTGCCTGTTTTGTTGGCGATAGTATTTGATATTTGTGCAAGTTTAGCATGGAGTAAAACTCTGAATCAAGATTATATGAAATTAGATATTGGATAGCGACTAATTGTCTCGTAAACGTAAAGTACGGAGTTATGTGTTTTTATCGTTTGGACTAATTTGATTTGGTCATCATAGATACTGGTATTTTAAGTATAAGTACATTGCTGAAAATTGTATAGAATTTGTATTAGGTATTATCCACAACTTAAGTATGCAACATAGAAGGATTTTCTCAGATATAAAAAATGCGTCCAGATGACTTAAACGTGTAATTTCATTTTAGAGCTGGAAAAGATGTCAACGAGAACATTAAGAATCCTTAAAATGGTTGCTAGCGGTGATCCCAGTACTGAGCAGTGTAGTAGCACTGAGAATGTAAATGTGACAAATGAGAAGTACACCTCTGCCGACCGTACAAGCACAACTGAAGTTTCACAAGACCAATCTATACTAAGTGACATATAAATCCGAACACCCAGTTTAAATGGTTTTATTTTAATAAAATTTTGTATAAGTATTTAATGAAGCATAATAAGTAAATGATAAAAATTTCAAAATGATTGCACTGCTTTAAAGCACTTTGACCTTTAATAATGTGTGGATGCACCCTGATGTGCTACGCATTCCCCAACGCGCCTAGGCATGCTTCTGATCAGGTGGTCAATGTCCTCCTGTGGTATCTTATTCCAGGCAACCACCAACTCCTCTCGAAGTGCTTCTAGAGACTGAGGAGGATGTTGCAAATTGAGCAATCTCCTACCCATCATATCCCACACGTGCTCAATTGGGGATAAGTCGGGAGATCTTGGTGGCCATGGTAACAATGTGACATCATTATGTTGAAAGAAGTCTATTGTGACTCTTGCAACATGTGGTCGGCCATTATCTTGTTGGAAAGTTGAATCTGCCAGGGTGTCAAGATAGGGTAAAAGATGGGATTCTAGAACTTCGTGGATATAACGCTGCGCGTTCATGTTACCTCTGATGAAGATTAAAGGTGACCTGGAACCATAAGCTGTAGCACCCCAAACCATAACTCCAACAGTGTGATGAACATGTCTTTCAACAAAAAACTGTGGATTCCTCCTTTCACCACATCGCCTTCTAACCCTGGCACGACCATCGTGCATGCCTAAACAAAATCGAGACTCGTCACTAAAGACTATACTGTTCCATTCCTGATCCCAGAGTGACCGTTGTCTGCACCACTCAAGCCGATTACGTCGGTGTTCTCGAGTTAAAGGGACGACCTAGTGTGGCCGGTATGAAAACAAGCGAAAACTTCTCATTCGCACTTCGCATGCCAATAGGTCTTCCGTGTTCTGCAAACCATTCATTTGCAATGGACCTGGTAGTGGAGAAAGGGTCCCTTAAGGCCAATAATCTTAGGCGGCGAACTTCACGGTCTGTTGTTCTACGGCGGCGTCCAATGCCCCTTGCTCTTTGCGTACGGCCTTCGCGAAGTCATGCTTGACAACACCTAACCACAGTGCCTACACTTCTTTGCACTCTAACTGCAATTGCCCGAAAAGAAAGTCCAGCTTACCGAAGTCCCACTATACGGCCCCTATCAAACTCACTAAGTTGACGAAATCGTACAGGTCTCTGTACTCTAGTCATCGTAACCGATCGTAAAGGATGTCAACAACCAAAATCCGCCAACGTTGATTCTTTACTGCGGCTGAAATATTCATTTTTAGAGCGTTAGTGAATTAAAAAAAAGCAGTATAAAAACCGGAATGTCCAACTGATAAGGATTAAAATTTTTTCACTTGTTATTTACAGTAAGATAAATACATTCACCAACTTTTATTAAAATAAAACCATTTAAACTGGGTGTTCGGATTTATATGTCACTTAGTATATTATTACTAATCAAGGCGTTTTTTACGAGATGGCTGATATAGAGATCGATTTTGTAGACATTCCTGGTCCAAGTGGTTCTGTTGTACCAGAAAACATGTTCGATGCCGTTTTCCCTTTCCACGAAACACAATGCTGTGAAATCTCATACCACACGATAGTGCAAACCCCAGAAAATGTAGCGATACATAAGCCAAATAAAGGTGACGACAATCGGGAACAAGAAAATCAAGAACAACGTGCGGAGACACCGAAAAATGATGAGGAACATGAATGCAATTCATCTGAAAATGTATTAAGAGAAATTCACAACTTGGAGCAAGAACACGCCGCAGAAACTAGAAAGCAATAGATCTTTAGAAAATATTAAGCGACAGCGACGTAAAAGGAGACAAGTAGACATTAAAGATTGGAAGCAAGAGCAAAACAAATAAAGAGAAAGTGGTTTATCTTACAGTACTTAGGGAAAAGAAAACTTAACGACGTCTGGAAATATAATCTTAAGAAACCAGATAAGGCTTTGTTAGGAAGATGTAACTGTGTAAGTGATAATCGATCCAAACTTCAGTGTTCCCAACTTAGTGAAACTGACAGAAAATCGATTTTTGATCAGTTTTGGAAGTTATCATGGAAGGAGAAACAGCTATTTATAACAACGCTAGCTGAATGTACACCAACACAGCGAAAAAGAAATCGGAAGGAAGACGATGCTAGCAGAAGGACTTGTACGTACATGTTTTTCTTAAGAAAGGTAGATGGTTCTAAACTGAGAGTTTGCAAATCTCTTCTTGCTAATACTTTAGCTATAAAACAGTGGACAATACATAACTGGCTGAAGTAAAGCCTGACCAAATCCCAGCAACAGTCCGCAGAACATATTGTCACAGAAGCTACTGGGAGTAAAGCAAATACTGAATTAGAGGATCCTGAAGGTGAACGGGAAATAAGAAAAAGACATTTAAAGGAATTGTTTGATATATTACCAAAAATGGAAAGTCATTACTGTCGCAGCTCTAGGAAAAAACAGTATTTAGAATAATGAACGACCGCTGTCTATAGCAACAGAAGCACAGAAAGGATCACAACAGAACTATGTCTCAAGTCTGTGAATAAAATATAAACACTTCAGAAATGGGACAGTTTTTTTCATTTCCTCTAAAGTCAGTGGTATGGGACTTGTGTACTTTGCATATTAAGCCGACGATATGTGCATTCATGTCTCGTCTGATGAGGCCAACAAGCAGAAATACGTATTGCTCGGGTTACCTATCCTATTTTCTGCTTGAATCCATGTTCCTTCTTTTAGCGGATTTTGCCCATTATTTTTTCTATTTTTATATACCTTTCTCCGCACGATCCTTTCTATTTTGTAGATCCTTTGGGCTTGAAATATCACTGCAAGTAGCTATAACCGGCTGCGCAGTTGTAGTTAGATGTTGCCTTGAAAATTCGAGGTCTTCTGGCCATTATACTACAAAAGCGTAGATTGATTCTTGTTGGTGACTTCGTGTGTTATTTTGTTCCTCTCCATCTTCGTTTCCCAAAGTCACACTCGTATCCGAACGTATGGGCATGTGTATCTGCTTTTGTAGTTGCAGATGTGCATTCATTTCGGGCATGATGAAGCCAACAAGCAGAAATACGTAGTACTCGGGTTATCGGTCCTACTTTCCTTCTTTTTACGGATTTTGCTCATTAGCTTTCTTTTTGTTATAATTGTAGACCTTTCTCCGCATGATGCTTTTTTTATAAATACACAATATACCATACGCTGTATAGTACTGTGATAATATTCATCGCAATTATGCAACTTTGTATTATTGTTATGATGGAAATAATAGTAAAAGTAATCGTTTCTTTTATTTAAGATAAACATCCCCATCACTACATCATCATCACTATAAGAATTGTTCATGACTTGTCAATAAAGTTGCACTGTTGCCAAATTGCTCACTTGCATTTTTACACTATTTGGGATTTTTATAATTTTCACTGAATAACGTTTTAACAATACGGACGCGTTGTGTGATCGTGTCGCGCTCCATGATAAATTGGACACATGTGCTTTAAACAACTACTGAAATGCGTGTATCAAAAGTGGCGCGCAATTTAAAACAGTCACCCTGTATATATGTTGTCTCATATAAAAGTCAAAGATCTATCGCTAACCGCGTTAAAGCATTTCGATATTCGATATGCAGGGGATGCTAGAATAATATTTGTTAAAGCTTTTGGTAGATAAAATAGTGCAGTTCCTACTACTCAACCTAGGCACAGTAAAGTTTAAGTTGTACAAACACTCTGATCGCTTAGCAGCTTGCGCACAATGCAGCAGCTTAACAGAATATTCGATTTTCTTTCACTAGTGATCGAAAAGGTTCTTCGTTGGATAGTTGAATGGAGGATATGCGCCATATGCTTTTAAATACAGATGTTTTAAGAATCTTGCTTGTAATTTCTCGACTTTAGATATACAATGTGTTTAGTTACGACATACCGGTATTTGAGGGGGATATTTTTCAGCTATTTTTTTCGACAAATCCACCCCCTACAATTCCTACCTCACCCCCTTGAAATGGATCCATACCGCTGCGGACTAAATTGGGGCTGACACGGATATGGTCTGCCGCTCAACACGACACATTGTTTTAAGAACAACAATGTGCATAACCAATAATGGAGGACATTTTCAACAGCTTCTGTAACATCAAACATGGGCAAACTCTCTATAAGAAACATTGCTTTGTCATTTTCATGTACAAAAAGTTTTAAAACAATTTGCATTTTATTACACCAATTTTGACCCATGCCAGATAGCATTTATTGCCTAATGTTGAATACTTTGGATAACAAAAAGCTGTAAAATTAACACAAAAAAGTACAACTTCGCAGACTATTTTTTGAATGGTGTGCGGAAATGCACAAAATAATAAATTTTCTTCCATATTTTTTTCTGTTTTTGTCTGTTTTTAAGTATGTTTGACCGTTAGTATCAAAATAAGTCTTTCAATAATTGCTAGGACATATCATCGTTCAAATGACACCAAATTTATCATCCTAAGTAATCGTTTCTTTTATTTAAGATAAACATCCCCATCACTACATCATCATCACCATAAGAATTGTTCATGACTTGTCAATAAAGTTGCACTGTTGCCAAATTGCTCACTTGCATTTTTACACTATTTGGTATTTTTATAATTTTCACTGAATATTGGAAAAGCAACTAATAAAAAAAAACATTTAACTGAGACATTTTCCCTCCATTCGAGTCGTGGCGCGCGGTAGTACATTTTCCAATGTTTAGGTCGTTACTGTTTAGGATTTGAACTAGTATTCAGTTAATATTTTCAGAACTACCACTTCAAATAGTTGATAGTTTCATAGATTGCCCAGTGGTGCCAGCGCAAATAACTCTCAGTGTTAATGAAAGACGAACTTGCAATACAGAACTGTTTACGATTCAACGTCATCCTACGAATTATGGTATGGATGGATCAGTAACTAGAATTCTTAGATCTGGCATCGCCGCTGTAAGCTGCAATATAGATATTTTCGGTAATGATACTCGTATTAAGCACATCGAAAAACGAAAGAAAAATGTTCCTATTCAACATTAGTTTGTTAGGTTTTAAATACAAGTAGCTTGGGTATCACATCATGAATCTTCTAGTTCAATAATTTATATAAAGATATTGTAATTTCACACCTTAACTTAATGTTTTTGAGATTTTTATTTCATAAATTACCTCATTATATTTAGTTGCGTATTTTGTGCAACAAAACGTACACTCTGGCAACAATGCACAGTATTCTTTATATCTGCCAGGAAATGGAAATAGTAAAATTTTTCATGCAGTTCTTATAAAGGCAAAACCTTTTATTGAGCATACACCATAGAATTTGCAAGGATTTTCAAGGAATCGTATTGAAAAAACATAACACCACACTTCTACAGGGTGACCAGTGGCAAAGTTCACTTTTTGGTTTAAGAAAAAAAAATACAAACCTAATGAAAAGAAAATATTTATCACTATCAACATATTCGTAAATTAGGCGGATTTTATTTCCTAATTATCATTCTGTCCAAATCACTTCGGACACACTCTTCTAATCGCACGCGCAAATTCTTGAACAGACTCGCAGAGTTCCAGAGTAATGTTGTTTATTTCTCGTCAAATGTTGTCTTTCAAGCTCCTCCAGTGTTCGTGGATTATTTTATGCACTTTTGATTTAAGATAACCCCACAAAAAATAATCGCATGGCGTGAGGTCGGGTGACCTAGGAGGCCGGTGAATAAAAAAATGCTTTTACCGTGTTTAACCATGTGTCAATCATGTCCTTGTATCGCTCGGAATTGATTGTCAATGTATGCCCGCTTTCATCTTAAAGAAATACGGCCCAATAATACCGCTAGAGGTTATGGCGCACCAAACAGTCACCTTTGGAGTATGTAGCTGTTGTTGATGTTTCTCTTTTGGGTTCGTTGGTGCCCAATATCTGCAATATTACTTGCTCACATAACCGTCTAAGCGAAAATGGGCCTCGTCACTGAAAAAAACGTTCACCAGTCCGCGCTGCGTAGGAAAAAGATTCAACATCCTTTAAGCACAAGATTTCCATAATACGTAACCACTTTCCTTTAAAGCATGGACTGATTGGATTTTATAAAGATGAAAACCCATTTTTTTCTTCGTTATGCCATGCAGAGTTGACCTAGTAGTCCAGGACTATTAGACTTTCTCTGCTGAAAAAATCCCACCTGGCTGAATTTTTTACCAGAGCTTCTTTTCAGCATTATAAATCTTCCTTCAAAAGTCACCACGAATTCAAATGGAGCTTTTTTATGGGGGGGGTCAAAGGTCACAAAAAACACTTTTTTCCATATATCTTCAAAAATATCAATTCTACGATAAAATGAGCAATTACCTTTTTTGTTCAGTATGCAATTCTCAAATATGTAACACCTCGATAGAACGCATTCTTCGCCGAGGAGGGCCAGCGGTCGAGGTGCTAGGTTCAGCATCTCGCTCCCTTTTAGCAGCAGTAATGCTACTTGCACGAGTATATTCTTTGCGATACACCACCTGCACTCTGATCGATTCAACACTGTAAACCTAATTTTTCCATCATTTCTCTCGATACTGGCATCACGTAACGTTTTAATACCGCGCTCGACGCAAACAGTCTGACAGCGATTTGTCGCAAATGATGCAATTTTCGGCCATTTTTCAATTTATATGTGAATAATATCACGTAAAAACTGTCTGAAATTATCCGACGCATCTGTATACAACTAAGAATAGTAGAATACTGGTCTGAAGACTGGTCAAATGACGTCATTGCCCCACA